GGAAGTAAAGAACATGGTATATTCTTTCTGTAAAGTCCTTCATTTCAAATTTTACCATTGGTACTTCTTCTGATATCCAAAATATAATATTTTTCATTACATAAGATGTTATTCCACGACATATTGGCTTTAAAAAGCGTTTCGAAAGTTTTTTTCACAATAGCATAGACTTTGATCTGAGTGTCGTTGAAAGATTGTAAAGCAATATGCTAGCTCAAAATGACGATCATTTTGGTACGATATATGTTGATAATTAAAGATATTTACTAATAATCAATTAACAATTCGTTTTCAGTGAGCTTACATAACTTTTAAACCACCCAAGAGTATGTTCGATGATAGAATGCATTGCATTTCTTATAATGTTTTTGCCAATTAAAATAAAAGTAGAGATCTAAAAATAGTAAAAGAGAAAAAGCTAACAGTCGGGAGTGCCAAATAATATTCTCTTTGTCAAATATATTTATATATGTTCGTATCCGATTTACACACTTAACCACATATCGTTCGCACATATATTCCTTAAAGTTTTGAAAAATTCCTAATGAGATAATATATCCATTTATCACCATGAACAAGAATGTTAAAAAAACCTTGAGGATTATGTGTCCTAATATACGGGACAACATGGCTCATATACCGATCTAATATTTTTTCTGGTGTCGGTTCATCTAGTAATACCATAAGGAAATCTGCCGTATCATTCGGTGGTAATGCAAACGGAGCCAGATAAACTTGTTCAATAAAATCATTTCTTCTTGGTAGAATCGTCTCCTTGTTGTCTTTATTAAGATGAGTGACTTCCTCTAAAACCTCTGGGATTCTCAGAGCGACGAATGGTCCTTCAAGCATTAAACACTCTATAATTTCAAGAAGCTTACTTTGTTGCTTATTGCTCACTTTGCTTTCCAGAAGATTACGGCTTGGAATCATATAGCTCGACAGTTTGCGTTCTGATATGCATGTTTTCAGGAAGTACAGAACATGGTATATTCTTTCTGTAAAGTCCTTCATTTCAAATTTTACCATTGGCACTTCTTCTGATATCCAAAATATAATATTTTTCATTACATAAGATGTTATTCCACGACATATTGGCTTTAAAAAGCGTTTCGAAAGTTTTTTCACAATAGCATAGACTTTGATCTGAGTGTCGTTGAAAGATTGTACAAGTGCAATTTCTGCTTCGGTAAAACATATACGCCATTGAAGAAAATGTTCCGGATGACCTTTCATTCCAACCGGTACAACATGACCGGTCATATCTTTTATTCTTGCAATAAGATTTCTTGGTGGCCAGTCATGCTCCCTGTCTCGATTGCACCACGTTTTCAGCAACGATGAAGCATTACATTTGAAAGCTAGACAATCGTCATAATTATTGTAGTGAAATATTTATGTATGGTACAGACAACGAGAACGAAACTGACGGTCCATTTTTTTCAACATTTAACTTGAATGATTTTTTCATCCATCCTCTTTTTTCAAGTTGTTTTTGCACTGTGCCAAGCAATGGAGAAACTGCTTTCAGTGTTACTTTATCGTTCCGAAGTAATATGGACCCGTTGTATTCCACTAATGCATCTTTTAAATGTTCCGGAATATCAGCTGTATTCTTCCGAAAAAGCTTGAGAAATGTTTAGCCTGGTGGAGACCTTTGGATATCAATATGGAATACAGCATGATAATTACCATTATTACATTGAGCGTCTTGTTTAGATTCCGTGCACATTACCGTTTTATCAACAAACATTTGATCAACGTCATTGTCGAATGATGTTGCAAGACCTTCACGTCGACTACCTGTCAGTAAAACATCAATATTCCCTCCGTATTTTCTTCTGTGGTATAAAGTTGATCCTTCAGAAATGTTCTTTCCTATTCATGACCGCTTTTCAACTGTTTCTTTATCATACCTAAGAGAATCAAGTGCCTTTATTATTTTCGAAGCTTGCATTATTTGGTTTATTCCTATAAAACGTCTAAAACGTGAATGTTATGTAACTAAACTGTATATTTTAACCGGTAAACATCGACTTGAGTTATATTTTGTAATACATGACAAAAACAAATGGACTGATAAGAGACAGATAAGAGAGCTTTTGAGCAATCGTTATGAAGATAACACTGTTTTTCAACATATTATCAGGTGTTCATTCGGATAAATAATCACAGTTTCATATAGATTATAATAATTTATTGTCACATACATATTTCCGTTATGAAAATACATACCATCTACTTGTTATAAAGGTTTGATGATACAGGCATGCTCCGATATCGAAATGTTAACTTTATAATTCATCAGTGATCAGTACTCAGTGTTAGAAATGTTTTCATGGTGTTGTGCGATATAAATCGAATGAGTGAAACGTTTCATGAGAAACTACAGAAAAAAAACTGCAAAGTAAAAAAGGATATGAAAAAATAAAACTAGAGCTATCACTAAAGGTGATTCATACCCATACCAGCAACCTTGACTTTTTGAAAAATGGTCTGAAGTGAATTTTGAATTAAACCTATAATGTATGATGTGTTTCATCTGTGTACCAATAATTATTACAATAAAGTGCCTATCTTTCATAAGCCATGCTTCTATTTTTAGTAACAGCGACCTTGTCCTTGAACCTAGGGGTCCAACAACAATCTCAAGCTATGTATCTTCAAAAGCTTGCTAAATGACAAGTTTTATTATCTCATTCCTAACTCTGAGCACGGTCTTCACGTTAGCTTGAAAATACCAATTGATAAAATATCTCACTGCTAATGTCAGTTATCATCTGGAAACTATTTTCCTATTTTAAGTAACAATGACCTTGCGTCAAGGGGTCCAAAAGCAATCCCAACCAGGGTTGTCATATAAACTTGCTTTATTCCAAGTTTGATTACAATATCTCATTCATAACTCTTTTAATCATTTTTCTATTACAAGTAACAGAGACCATTACCCCAGGGAGTCCAAAAGAAATCCTGAGCGGGGTCGTCATATATGCTTGCGTTATACTAAATTTGATTATAATATCTCATTCCGAACTCTAAAATTCCAGAAACCATGAAGTGGACCGACAAACCGATCAATCGACCAACCGACGGACCGACAAGCTGACTCCTATATACCCGGCCCCTTAACTTGTGTGGGTAGTATGCTACAGACGGGGTCAAAAAATATATCGTTCGTCAGCTAACTTTGCTTGATAAGACATTTTACACATAATATTATGCGACAACGCTATCTATCGATCGCAATATAACGTTAATTTACGGGGTTTGTATTTATAACAAAAATTTGGGATTTTATTGTTGATAAACCTTGTCTAACAAGTAGAATGGATAGCAAACCTTATGTCTGTCATATAACTAAATAAAATTTTATACGTTAAAAAACAACAACAAAAAAGCCCATCTCCTGTTAAGCAGAACATTGCAAAAAGAGCAATATGAAATCGGGTATGTATTAGTTATCTATCGAACATCATATGGACATAAGAATATTATTAAGGCCAAACTAAAGAAATGAATATGGAGTTCGAAAAGTGTATATACATTATTATTTCAGAAGTAAACTTATCTTCTTAAAATTCTAATATTTTAAGTAGCATTGACTCCTTTGTAGATCAGAAAAATATGAATATTTTGAAATTAATTCCATAGAACGGATTTTGAACTATTATACAATGGCAATTACCATTTTACTATTCTACTGTTTAAAAAGTATTTCATTTGTGTAAATATTAATTTAATGTACCGACTTCTTTTTCATCTTTTATTTTCAGAACATGTCATCAAAATCTTAGGTACTTATGAGGGAGTGAAAATCCCGAGTTCAGGAACGTTTATAATACGAAAAATAAAAGATTTTACCACTATCGTGTTGGAGCATACCTCAGCCCTTTTGCAAAAGTACAAAAATACCCGTTTTTTCGTCATTTTACTTTCACATTAATTTATCGTATATAATAAATTAAAGTAATAATAGATGTTTTAAAAAAGGCATTTTGAGGGGTTTTGAAAAGTGATTTTTAGATTTAATATTCAAGCGCATTGTGGGTTTATAAAAAATACGGTGCAAAAAAACCCCTTTTTTTTCACTCAAAAAAAAAAACCGTTTAAATTAAATCCCATTTTTTTATTATTATTTTTTTTGCAATGGAATGAGCTGACATAAACGAATTTGAAGTTGCTGGATGGCACATTTCACAATTACATGTTACTTTAAGCTCGATTGTTAAATAAATTCGTGCAACTTTAATAAAAACAAATTTCGAGTGCTCCTCCTGGAACTAACCAGTACTGGGCTTCTACGACAAATTATGGCCAATGAACCCCGGAAGGGGCTTGTATCCCAGTCCACAATCCATTGATTGGAAGCATTCAACTTAAGAAATTGGCCATAGCTTGTCTTTGTACAATGAACACATAAAATTAGGCAATGAACCACAAAAGAACTTTATTTCTTTGGATAAGGTATTTAGTCTATTTTCTGATTAACATTGATCATAATTAGGTTTTTGGAGGTCCAATTTGAATAATATACAGACTATGTTTTAAATGTACCTGTGCCTAAATAATCATAGCTTCTAAAGAGTGTGTGCTCGTGTGTAAGTGTGCGAACGCGCACGCGCATGTGTAAAAAATTTGCCGTTCCCCCCAACACCAAGTAAAAACGGGCGAACAAAGTGCTCCCTTTTCAATAAGCAAGTACTTTTTTATTTTTACATGTACAGTGGATGTTATAAACATAAACCAGTTTATTTATCAATGTTTAAAAAGGGGTAGGGATGTGGGCGTTACGAATCACGGTTTATCTCCGAAGATAAATAAAAAAAATTTTAACCAGTTTAAACTGATTTAAAATTTTTAAATTGGGAATACCCCACTGAAAATTTGTTTGCGATTTATTTTTTTTGAATGGTCACAAAACTTTGCTCTTAGGTCAATTTGTGAAACATTTTTTTTTGAATGAAGGTAAATAAAGACAATAAATGAACAAATTATCAATATGTTTATCATAATTACTTTTTTTATTTCAAATGCGATATAATATTATTATAATGTGTAACAAGTCAGCGTTTTACAGATCCTACCCTGAAAGTTTGATAAGAGAACATCATTATAATTCAATCAATAAAATAAATGTTTTTCTCCGATTTCTAGACTTACGCCAAATATATATACTTATATATAATACAAATGTAAACCATATTAGATTCGCAAAAGTTTAGCACTATTTTATTAAATTTCAACAGGAATGGACGTATAAAAATGATGTCAAAAGCATGATTTAATACAGGTGAGTACTAAAGATGGAGTTAATTGGATTTGTTTTGTAAATAACAGTTGTATTTATACACATCTTTCACATAGGTAAAGATTCATGATATTTTATTAATAATCCTTTAATCATTTATCAGTCAAGTAAAAGTGCTTTATTTGCAATCAATCAGATACTTACCTACCAAGGCAACACCAGGTGCAGCCATCTGATCACCTAAAATTTTATCATTGCAATTCTTATTTCTAAATGGCATAACATGACGGGTTGCCATTAATAGTAAATTTAAAAGAGATACAGCAACATGCTTTAGATACAACAGAATATTCTTATGTCATCTGAAAGGACGAGCTTATTTAGCAGATAGAACGGTATTCGTATTTGTCCTAGGAAGGAGACAAGGAACTTAAAGTGAAGTAAATCACATGCACTGCTCAAGGTAAAATTACATGCACCAAGATCTGATGAGTTCGTATAAGAGGATATTGAAACTATAAGAGAGGTTAAAAAAATAATCAGTCGAAATCAGCCCAAAAGAATGACATCTGGAAGGTTATGTGAAAAGGGTCATTTAGTAGAATTTAAACAATTATGTTATTGTTACCAAAATATTCGGACACTTAACATTTTTTTTGCAAAGCTATATGAATAGTTTCTCTTTATATACAAATGACAATGTTTTATTTAGTCTATAGGAAGGTAGAAAATTGATAAATGTGAACATACTTGTGCATACACCATCAGTTATTGACAGATCGTCTATCGCAATGTCTCCGTGATAGGTTGGACCTATATCTCCAGTCAGTATTAGATTATAGTCGTGCTGGACTCGCTGACCTGGTATTGTTATAGATGATTGTATCCACTTCTGACCTTGATCACCTAGCTGGCGAAACAATGGTGTTTCTTTTTGTGTACACATATCCTTGATTAATGGAAGAAAACACTTCTTTAATTAAAAACCAAATGGAAACAGTTATTAACCTTCCCACAAATAAAAGAAATCTAAACTACATGGAGGCCTTCATGAGGATGATTAGAAAATTTAAAAAGTCAAAAAAAATTTGAATTTTTTCCCTTACATACATTGTATTTTGATGATAACCTTTATTGAAGCTACACAAAGTTTTGACAAAAACGTACAATAGCAACAAAAACGATAATTAAAGAATTTTATAACTCATAATTAAAATAACAAAATAGTTACTTTCAAATTGACGGTTAAATGTCCGATACCATCTCCGTACATATAATACCAGAACTTAAAGCACACCGTACGGTTTGCTGGTAACACCTGTGACACCATACTGGCATAATCACCTTGTAACCTTGGTGATGATGCTTCAATGTATAGATACGCTCCTTTTTCTGAAAATCAATAAATTTAATTATTACAATAAATGCAAAGCATTTGAGTCTACTGTCCGGTTATATCTTACAGATTCTAGACAGGTTATATGGCCCTTTATAAACGGTTGTTTATTTATATTACCCGAGCCTCTAGGCGAGGGTTATATGTCAAACAACCGTTTATATACGCCATATAACATGTCAGGAATCATTATGACGAATTTATAATACAACAAACTTCCTATTTTAGGGGAAAATGTGATTTTTTAGTCGTGTATATAAAGCTATATAAACGTCACGATTATCTAATGAAAAACGACGTTACAAACGTGCAGTATAATAAGTACGAGGGCTGTTCAATAAATACGCGGAAAAGTGCTGCCATATTTTTAATATTCATGGGAAATTGACGTTCTCTTTACATTTTGTAAAAAAACATATAATAAACATGTACACAAAATTTCAATAAAGGCAGGTAATTAGAAATTTATTTTCTATAAAGTCTAAGTCAATTTTTTCAATAAGAAATGAAAGCACATATTTTAATTATTACATATAATGTGGACAAATATTTACAGTACATATTTTACATATTCTTCCATGTTTAAAAATTGTTTAAAAGGAATAATTATATACATATATAAAGTTTCACTTAAGTGTGGTAACAACCTTAATTATAACATACAGGATCTTTAAACAGTATATAAATAGTGTTTTTATCAATATAAACAAGACGTTTCTTTGAATCAGATACTTAGCAGTGGTTGAGCTATTTCAACCAGAGTCTGGATAATTTCCGAGTGTTCTATTGATGCAGAAATATTAACAAGACTTAGTATTTACAAAGCTCACGATTTTCCTGACCAGTTTGTTGTTCGAAGTTTTAGTATCGTCGGCAAACTTACCTAATTAAATATAAAAATAAATTGTTACATGCAGTATTTCTTTTTTTATCATTGCTTTAAAGCCAAATAACAGCAAACATTAATTTAATCTCCATATTTATGATATTTTCGGAGGTAAATAACGATATAGCAAACATGTTTAGAAATGTAAAAACAAATGCAGGTGATTACTTACCATTCCCCAAAGTGTGATCACTGTCCGGACCAGTTTGTGACGACTGTGTTGGGCCGTTTTGATGTGTCCAGTCAAACTTATCATTATTCAACTGTTTCCAACTGCATTTGTCATTGCCCTCAAACGTACACTTTTCGTTTAAGCTCGCTTGAAATAATATTTCATATATTAAATCAGAACAAGAATTTTAATACAGTAATACAAAATGATCTGGACAAGGGGGGACCATCGGGAGCAATGAAATTAACAACCTTACACGAAAATTGCAGACGCGGCTCATGAAAGTTAATATAAGCCGCGTCACGACAAAACCAACATAGTGTGTTTGCGACCAGCATGGATCAAGACCAGCTTGCGCATCCGCGCAGTCTGATCGGGATCCATCCTATTCGCTTACCAACCCTTTTACAAGTAGAGAAACTGATAGCAAACAGCATGGATCCTGATCAGACTGCGCGAATGCGCAGGCTGGTCTGGATTCATGCTGGTCGCAAACGCAAACGCACTATGTTGGTTTTGTCGTGACGCGGCTCATATATTGTGCAACATCCCTAGCACCCCCCTAGCACCGGCTTGAGCGGTATTCAATCTTCAAACACTCAAAACATTAACATTGAATATAATTCAACAAAGCGTAGAAGTATACTAAAATCAATAGTAATACAACAGCTTAAAATAGATTTAAGGGTCGACAAAACTTTCTTTAAATTTGTAACTGTAGCGTTAGATCGTGCGTTGTTCCATAGTCGTACAATAATACATTAATAATATAGAGAAAAAAATCAATGACAATACATACTATTAACTGTTAGTTGAAATGTTTTAGTGACGTTTGGGTCTATTCTATTTGAAGCAGTGCAGTTGTATATTCCTCCATCAGCTCTACTTGCATTATGAATTACAAGATCGGATTCTATAAATGTATTTATGTGAATTTAATTATACTAGATGATAGTTAACGATGGTTATTTCAGAGTGTTAGATAGAAGAATGCTTTCATAACATTCTTATTCTTGTTTGGATTAAAACACACACAAAGAATAAAATTATGCAGCTGTCACTGAAAAGATAAGCAATTGAATTAATTTCGAAAAACACGCATTTAAGAAAACTTATTGTTTAACATTCTTTGCAATGTCGCTGTTATCTTGGCAGAGTTAATGTTTGATGAACCAATGTTCTTTGAATAACTAATGCAATTAGTGTGCAAAAGTCTATTACATTTTAGACTTAAGTTTCAAATTTTGACATCCACAAAATGGTATCAAAAGCTAGGTTTTTCAAGTGCACACTGACGTTTATCACTCATCATTAAAAGTTTTTTCATCTTCTGATAAATATTAAGAGTGAGGGATGGGTGCTTAACTCACTTCTTCGTGTGAAGTTTATATTTAAGCCTTTGCCTCGTTTTAATTAACGTTTTATTAATGAGAAAAAGAAAAAGAAATTTGAATTTTCTTTTGGATAAATAGCTGTTTAAAATGTTTCAATTCATTAATGATGATTAAGAAACAGACACACAAACATAAAGGCTAATACAAAGTTTCATAAGATGAAAATTCTGATTTTGCTTTATACAGAGAATGAATAATTATTATAGGTACATAATGTATTTAAGATATTTAAGGGATTTCTCTGTAACACAGCAACTTCTATAAACAGTGATAAGGTACTTCAGTCAGAGAGGGTAATATGCTGGATGAATGTACCTCCTGTCGAAACGCTTATTCCTCCACACCCATCTAGCCTCGTCCAGTAATAAGTTGCTGGCGAACCTGTCGCACTACAGTTCAACAGTACATTAGATCCCCCTGATACAGATATACTGACCCGATCTGGACCGTTTATAGTCAATACTACAAAATAATAATATATGTTATTTAAATGAATAATATTCAAGTTTTTTTTAAAAAATCCCACTAATATCCTTTCGGTACTGAATCTGAAATAAGTGACTAAGAGACACATATGTAAGCGTACCTGTTTTATTACATGTTATCCCTGTATAACCAGTTGGACACGTGCAGTGGTAATCTGTAGCATGGGAAAAACATGTTCCTCTTACACAAGGATTCGTCAGGCAGAAGTCTGTGACTGAAATACAAATTCTTGGTTACTTTAAAAAATTAACTTAAAGGGAATAATATTTAATCTTAGAATATATTAACTTGTGCACTAAAAACGGGAAAATATGCAAAAGATAATACAAAATATACACAGAATTAACATGAAAATCGGATTGAGGCAAAAGAGTTTTTTTCTTTATTTTTTGGTCATTTTGTTCAACAGAAAGAAATATTCGTGAAATTGTGAGCAATTGCTCTGAAATTTTGCACACAAGTTATTGGTGCAGATCTACATATACATGCTACACAAATCTACACAATAAATGTCCCACTAAGACTAAAATTTTTTTAAGATTGACGTTAAAACGTTCGGCGTTAATGTTTAGCAGAGTTAATTTTTTTATGACTTTATATTATTTAAATGAAACAATCTTCTCGACGCAATCAATTGATATTTCTAATATTTACTCGTATATCCATTGCATATGTTTAACTTACTAGTCTCGCATAAATATCCACTATACCCGTATTGACATTGACAAGTGAAATTATTTATACCGTCAATACAATTTCCACCATGTAAACACGGATTAGAACGACAATTGTCTATATCTGTAAATACAAAAAAATAACTTTTAAATTACAATGATAAGGGTTCTTTAAAAGGCATTTTATAAGTTCTAGAATAGAATAAAATCATTGACACAAAGTTCATTTTTAGTTATAATAACTACAAAATGATATTCTAATATACAGCTAAGAAGTCACGAAAAATGTACAATTTTGGAAAAAGAAACCCCTAAAAACAACTGTAACATAATAGATGAAAGTTACTTTTTTATCCTTGACCATATACTCGTATACAGTCATAGAATAAATGAGGTAGTCACTGTAAAAAGTTATTTACAAAACAAATGAATGAAATGATCACCTGTCTGACAAGTTACTCCTGTGAAACCTATTGGACAGTTGCATGTGAAACTGTTGATTGCATTAACACATGAACCTCCGTTTATACACGGGTTTGTACCACATTTATCAATTGCTGTAATTATTGACGAAACATTTGCAATAAGATATTTAGTAACATCAACAGACTTCTGTAACTTACATGACCTAAAGCATTATGATGTGCTCATGAACATGTTTTAGTTAAACGCAATTAAACCTTGTGAAATCCCAAGTGTCTAACTTAAAAGCGAGAAACGAGATTCAATTGCATATAAAATATTATAAAATTTATTGGTAATTAGCAAACAAAAATACATCTGAAATACCATTATTTGTTTACCGTATTTTCTGTTTTGTCTTTACTTTTGTTTTTCATTCTCATTATAAAAGTAATGTAACGGTTTAATATTTCTATCGAAATATAAGTAAAATATTAAATAAATTTAAAATCTGTGGTAACAAACACGCAAGCATTGCAAAGGGCAATACAATGCAAATACAAACAAAACAGAAGGACTAACCGGAATCACATATTGTCCCCGTATATCCTGCCTGACAGTCACAGAAAAAGTTAGTGATGTGTTTATAGCATTGTCCATGTAAACAAGGTGAAGGTACGCAGGGATCAATATCTAAATGTTAATTGAAAATTTGAGAATTTAAATGTTAATTTCTCTATGCTTAGACAAGAGTTTGAGCTATCAATTTATTGAACATTAGACAATTTGTATCGGACAGACAATGGGAAATAATTGTTTATTTCCAAAAACATAAAACAAATACTTCAAAAAATATTTTTTTTATTTAGAAACATCTGTGTAATAATTGTATGTATTTATATTATATATGTATTATATACTGTATGCATTATAACAAGAATTCCAAACAATTATATGACTTTGAAAAAAAACCGGATACAATTGTATTCTTATTTCATTGACTAAGTCAGTTTTTAACCATATTCTATAAGCTCTACAACAATTATGAAATAGATATAAAACACATACATGTTTCACATAGTTGGCCTGTAAATCCAGCATGACATTGACAGTTGCCTTGGAAACAAGTTCCACCATTCAAACACCGCATACCGGGATAACAGTGATACAAACCTGGTTTAACAGTACAAATATCTTATCCTTAAAAAAGGAAACTGAATATAAACAGTTTTCACTGTTCTAATTAAAGCAATTGTACACTGTTTAAAAATAACGCCAAAGCAGTAGAATGTTTTAAGTAATTTTATTTGTATATATGACTTCATATGGATTTGTTTTCGTCAACATATTTAGGCATAACATCTGATATGTTCTTTTATAACTATTATTTTAATTATTTCAGGTTAATGCTTAGGCTACATATTTGTTGAAATGATAACAGAAGAAAGATGTTCATTTACTTGTTTCACAGAAACGTCCACTATATCCCTCCTTACAGCTACAGTTAAAATCATTGACGAGATCTGAACAAATGGCGCCATTCATGCATGGGTTTGACGAACATTCGTCGATGTCTTGAATGCAAATGTGTTTTTATAATAATATGGCATAAAATAATTAACACGTTATTTTGTTGACAAATATTTAGATGTATATGTGTATATTGATGATTATACATGAATTATGAGCATACTAAATGGTAACATGCAAGTCCTAAGGAAAATTTCAAAATTAATTGTTACATTTTTGTCTTACCAGTCTCGCAGAAATGTCCTGTATACCCTTTGTCACATCTACAGAAGACTTTGTTAACGCCATCAAAACAAACTGCTCTGTTCTGACAAGGGTTTGATAAACATTCATCAATATCTAAAATTAACAAAGATGAAACACATACAGTATGATAGTTTTATTAACTAGCTAACTATCTAACAATAATTTTGTTCCGTTTTCGTACATTCACTCAGGAATGTTATATAATCGTTATTAGAGGATCGCTCAGCACGGCATTGGTGTGTTTGTGTTATTTCAGAACTAGTTCTTGTTGGATGGTTCCAGTATTCCTACCTGAAATTAACTATTGAATCTTCCTTACGATATGTTATATTATCTGCTTTTTAAGTTTGCTTTTTGACCATTGGCTAAGATAAGCTGGTTTCATAACCACTGACCCATCTAATATACCATTTGTTATAGTCTCGCCAGTTGTTTTCTTGTTAAAGGCTCACACAGTTTTCAAGTAGGGACCATACGCCACTGGTATGACACAGAAGTGTCACTTTTAAAATTCAATAATTGACTACCGTATGAACACATCTGTGGTTGTGTTGAGATTTTAATAGATCTTTTTCAGATGTTGAATGATACTGTGTTAAGCGTTCGTTCAGGTTTCAATTTTATTTTATTAATATTTCTAATCTAGACAGAAATGACAACGCACATAAAAACTAAATATTTTGTAATATAAAAAATCTAATAACAAGATGGTCATAAATAGAATAGTCTTCAATAACTGAGTGAGCAATATTAACAAACAAACAAAAGCAGTAAATATATAAGGCAATATATCATCAACATTACCTGTGCGACAATCACGGCCAGTAAAACCAGCATCACATAGACACGTGTAATTGTTAACACCATCCTCACATAAACCATGTACACATGGACTTGACGAACATTCATTTATGTCTGAAGCAATAAGTTAATTTTAATTTGTCACTTATTATGTTTATTAATAAGTTCAATATTTTTTACTAATCTAGCCTTTATACTAACAGATTTTTAAATATGAAATTAAGTTTCAGTTTCATTTTTTGTATCGTTGAAAATACATTTCAAGAGTTGCAGTGCAAATTAAGCGCTATTTTAAAAGTAATTTTTTATATGATTAATAACAGAATCTGTCTTACAAGCACGGGATAATGCCATATAATATATTAAGCATTATGTTATGACGTTGGTTTCAACAATATTTTATTAATAAAAATTACATTTACATGATTATTGACAAATAACAAATTGTACGGATTGAGTAGGAAGCTTGAAAAGCTTTTTTAGAAACTCTCTTCGTAAATATCCGTTTATTATGACTTTGAGGGCGTGCGTTCATTGAATGCCGCCATTCATTGTTGATCTTTGCTTTTTATATTAAAAAAAAATCATTCAACAATCACCTTATATAAGCATTCTGAAAATGAAAAAGTTTTATTCAGTTGAAAAAAATAACATACTCTTATCACAGTCATGTCCAGTAAAACCTGCACTACAGATACACGTATATCCGTTAATTCCATCAACACACCTTCCATTCACACACGGTGTCGTTAAACATTCATCGATGTCTAAAAATAATTTCTGTTACAACTTTTCATTTTTAAATTTAATTTAAATCAAAACATATAAAAAACTTTTAAAGGGTGATCCCCTTTACAGGAAAATAGGGGGGACATTATAATTAAAAAAAATAGCTTTTTTGAAAAAACAGGTTTTATTCCCTTTTCAAACATGTTGAAATTCCCCCTTTTAAAATTTTTTTAAAAAGAAAAACAAAAAAATTTTAAAGAAAAGACTTAGCCTCACATTTTTACTGTGTAACGCCAAATTTTAAAACCCCCAGGGAAAAAATTTGGGAAAACAATAAATATTTAAAAAAGTTTTTAAAAAATGTTTTTCATGGGTTTTTTTTTACTTTTCTGGTTTTTTTAAAAATTGATTCCCAAAGCCGGGTTCAAAAAGTTAATTTTTGTTAAACTTATCTATACCCTCCCCCACAAACGCCCCTTAAAAACCCCGGAAAAATTGATGAGGCCCACTCCCAATCCCCCAAAGTCGAAAATAAAAATTGGTACAACCCCAATTTTTGATCAAACGACCAAAGAGAAATAAAATAAAAAATTTGTTCAAATTCTTCAAATATTCATCGATTTTCAAATTGAATTTAAATATTCATTTTTTTATTATATGGGAAGGGGTTTTTCACTTTATAAAAAGATTTTGTTTTCTAAATTTTAAATCTTCTTTGTTATGGTAATTAAGGGATTAACATGTCCCGGGCCAAATGGGGTTTTTCATCAATCGGACTGAAAGAAAGGGGTATGAGTAGTAAATTTTTCCCTTATTTTAAAATACAAAAGGAAATCAAAAAAAATGACCCGGAAACTAAAAATTTTATTGCTTTTTTTGGGTTTAAAAATTTTGAACGCCCTGCCCAAAACTAAGTGGTTAAAGAAGTCAAAAACTGAAACAATAATATAAATAAATTTAAATTTTAAAATTCTTAAAAAAAAAGAATTTATTTTAATTTTTTTAATTTTGTGATCACCATAAACAACTTCAAAATTTTTGAAATTTCCTTTTCCACAAAACAACGGCCCGTTAAAAAGGGGATCACAAAAGACACTTTTTAATTGTTTACACCCTCTTCAATAAAACCCTGTACACCTGGACTTGACGAAAAATTCATTTGTCTATATGTAAAAAATATTAAAATTTAAAGAAAACCCTATAAAAGACAAATGTTTTCCCTTTAAAGTCGCCGTTTTTTTTTGATTATGTTTATTTTCCCCTGCCTTTGTTTGGGGAAAAATCAATATACATTGAAAAGGTTTTTCATTACAAAAACAAAATTGACCCTTTTAATAGAAATAGGGCCCCTTTCAACCTTTTCAAAAAAGGGAGGGTTGGGGCGGACTTTTGCTGGGAAGGCAAAAACTTTTTGGGGAAGCACCCTTTGGGTTAAAGGGGGACCTTTCCCCCCTCTTTGAAATTTTAAATTTGTTTAATTGTTACCTGGGTTTTTTTAATTTGGGATAACATATTCAAATATAAAAAAATTAATAATGCGTTTCACTCTATTCTAATTCAAAAAAGGTATTTGTGTTTGTCGTATAAAGAATTAAGGGAGAAAAGGCTAGTTTAATATTTTGACCAATCGATGAAATTGTTCGACAGAAAAATATAATGTTTCAAATAAAGGCAAGAGCATTAAGGAAATAATATGATGAGAGTAATTGATAGGTTAGTTGTGCTTCGTAAATGCTTATTTAATGTGTAGGGGTTTATTGAAGAAAAGGTTACGCATGTGAGAATGTTGAACACTTTTAACAAGAAAAAGTATACTAGTAGTGCATGCATAATAAAACGTCTTAAAACTAATGAAAATATGCATTGAGATTCAATTCCAAGTTGTTCATTTGTAATTTAGTTATTCTAAGAGGAGAGACCACTTGTCTCTCACGATCTATGTACTTACTAGTTCTACATTGACTGCCAGTGTAACCAGGGTCACAATTACATGTGAAGTTATTTATACCATCAACACAAACTCCGTTCGCACATGGACTTGATGAACATTCATCTATGTCTATTGATAAATAAATAATGACATATTGTATTGTTTAGTTCTTCTATAACGGCTGCAAATATTTATGTATGTACAGTGTTTATTTTATAAAATGAAAATGTAGACGAAAAATATTGCCAAAATTTGTCAAAATATTTATTTCGTCATAGAATGAATTATCACTCCAATCAAAATTATTAAATAATTGCTTCGGTGAATACATAGATATATAAAAATTATTATCAATACTCCTTATGTCAAAAAAATGAAATACTTTGTTTGGTTATGTAAACAGTTTCTGTGTCGCAAGAAGAAAATTGTTGACCTCTTGTGTATAATTTCATTCACCATCAGGCACATCATCCAAACTTTATAGATCAAGCAATGACGAATAAAATACATCATACATTAAAGGGGGTGTAAATTTTCCAGTTAAGCCCAAACTTATTATTTTCATGTCACCAATTCCCCGGGAAAGGGTTTTTTAAAAACCCAAAAATTTCAAACCCCCAAAAACTACAATTTATTCCCCGGTACCCCAAAAACCCCGCAAAGTGTAATTATTTATACCCTTTACACGGTTTTCCTTCATGCACGGTTCAGGATCCCCATTCCCTTTATATCTATAAAAAAGCCCCATTTAAAAAATTTAAAAACTTGAAAAAAATTTACAATTTTTAAAACAAAAAATTTAATTAAATAACTTTAAAAAAGATTTGAATTTTATGTTTCCAGTTGGGTTTAAAATTTCCCTTTAATATGTTTTGTCAATTGGGAAAAACGTCCCCAAAGAGGAAAAATCGTTTCTCGTTTTGAATTTTATTAGTTAAAATTTTTTACAAAAATTTTTTAAAATTCCCTAAAACAAAGATGCAACTGATTTGGGAAGTCCTAACCCCGGGGGTTCGAACTTAAAAACCCACTTACAATCATGAAAAAATAACGGGTCTAAAACGAATTTTTCCAAAGTATTTATTTCCCCCGTTAAAAATTGTTTTAATTACAAATTTACGGGGGAAATTTCCCAATGTTAGGGTAACGATAAAAAGGGGATGTTTTACCCCAGCCCGGCACTTTTAAAATTTTACAAATTGACTGCCCGTGACCATCGTGAAGTTTCAAATTTAAGTTATTTATACCGCACCCCAAAATCCGTTTTTACATTTACTTTGAAAAACATTTGTCTATATCTGAAGTATTTAAAATTTTGGCCTTTTTTAAAAAGCTTACTCGAAAAAGTAATAAAAATCCATTTTTTTTGTCTTTTTCCCCTTGAACAGATATAATGGGCCTTTTTGTTAAAATTTTAAAAGTTTAAAAATAAGCATGTTTTAACCATATCAAGGCACATAAAGTGTTGAAAACATTGTTTAGGCATTTTGGTTATTTGGCTGAGCAAGCAATTGGGGGTGGTGTAAAGGGGGGCCCGTCAGTATAAAAAATTTTACTTGATTTTGAATTTGGGAAAAAAAAAATTTTTAAGTTTTAAATTAAACCAAATTAAACCCGGCAACAAAATTTCTTGGAACCCCAATTTTTACTTTTTTTTTTAGAGGTAAGTACTTAAATAGTTTTTCATTTTGGGTTTCCAGTAAGCCACCCTACAGTTTCATGTGATTTTTAAATACCATCAACACAAAATCCGGTTACACATGGGGCTTGAAAGAAATCGTTTTTTGTTGGAAATTTTAAAAAACTTTTTTATCTTCTGTCCCTTTTTTTTCCCCGGGCTACAAACAAAAATTTTCCCTTTTTTTTTTGTCGAAAAAAAAACCCAAACCCGGTGCAAAAGGTAAAGCACCCTGTTACCCCCCATCTTTAAAAGCTGTTTTCGACTAAAAAAAATCAGGGTGGTAAACAAAAACAGTTTTTTTGTCTGGCTACTTTTTTACATCATCAAATTTCAAAAAAGTAAAAAAAAGATGCTCCTTGACATTTTTCGGCAAGAGCAAATGTCTTGGAAAAATGTTAAATAAATTTAAAGGGCAAATTTAAAATGGAGAACTTGGGAAAAAAAACATTTATTTTTGTACTTGTTTCCTTTCTGGTTTTTACATTGACTACCAGAGAAGAACCATCCCTCCAGTTACTGTGTAATATTTTTACCATCAAAAACCCAAAAGGGCCCTTTTTCATGGATTTGGGTTTTTAACATTCGTCTTTTGTCTTCATTAAAATTAAACATTTTATTTAAAAAATTACGTTTTCTTTAAATTTTCATCTAAAAAGCTCTATATCATCAAGTTCGAAATATTTGCAATTGGATTCACATTACGATTTTACGATTTTCTTTGTAAAATATTCCTAGTCGTTTACCCAAGCCATCACTGGTTCTATGAACAAGAGGTCTTTAGTGAATATGAAACATCACATTTTATTAACACTGTTAAAGCAATATAAGCATTTCAAGCCTTACTACTTATAGCGTAGCTATTCCACCATCTTTCTTTTTCAAAATTGTTTTAGATATACCCTTAATTATAGAAGGTACACTAGTTACTGAGATAAAGTCAAAATGCTAAAGACTATAAGAAGATTTTATTTTCTATTTTTGTGTGTTTCAATTTTTTTCAATTTCAAATTGTTATTTTTCATGATTACTGGCATACTCACCAGTACCACAATTAATTCCTGTATATCCAAAATTACAAGTACATGTATAACCATTTATTCCAATCTATTCATTTTTTCCGTTTATAACGGGTTAGGTAAACATCATTTAAAAATCAAAAGAAACAAAAAAATTAAACCAAATAAAATTAAAATGTTGAAAAGCGTTTGGTCTTTTATGGGGCGAACCCTCTTTTATATAAAACCTATACAATTTAAAATTGTTTATAAAGAAAAAAAATTTTACAAAAGAAAAAAAAAAAAGAATTACAAATTTTTGAAATTTTTAAAAAATCAATTTTAATTTTCAAAAGTGTCGTTATTGAAAAGAAAATTTAATAAACGCCCTTTAAGGTTTAAATTTTAATTGTAACATGTAAAAAATAAAATTTTTGGGGGCTAATAATTAGACCAGTGAGTGGAAGCTGAAAAAAATTTTAAAAAACGCGAGACTTTAACCGGGTTTTTTTGGGTGTAAAAACGTATCGTTTTACAAAATACAGATTTTTTTATGCACTTGATTTCCAAAAAATGGAATTCTTTTTTGCACAATGACAAAAAAAAAGTTTTTTGCATTTTAAAAAAAAAAAAAAAAAAAGATACAATTATATCTTTTCTGGTGGTTATCGTTTATCGATAAACTTTTTTAAGGAGAAAATTTCCCTTTTTTTTCATTGGAAAAAAAATTTTGGGAAACAAATGTAAATCACCCTTTTTACAGTGAAAGGGCCCGTGTAACCCAGCCCAAAAAAAATTAATTTAAATTTTACACACAGGTTCCCTTTCTGGCACGGGTTTTTCAAAAATTCGGGTTTTTAAAATTTAAATATTATGTTTTTCAGGGTTATGATTTATTATATAAACTGTGGTAAAAACTTTTTTTTCCAAATTTTTCCACATAGAAGTAAAAAAACGAACCCTACGGCCCACCCCAACAAGAAAATGTTGCAGGGGTCAAATTTTTTTGCTTTTAATATTGGGCGGGAGTGGGTTTAAAGCAAAATACCCCCCCCCGGAAACCCTTAAAAAATTTATAAAAAACCCTTAAAAAAAAAAATTTAATTTTTTCTAAAAACAAATTAGGGTTTTCAAAAATTTTAAGAAAAATAATGTTGGTTCAAAACCCGTTTTTTACAATGGGCCGGTATTCCCGGGCCCTTTCTGTACAACATACTGTTAAATTTCCCTCAATAAAACATTCCATTTCGCAAGGATTTTGGGAAATACATTTTCTTTTTTACAAAAAGGGCCAAAATTATTTAAAAAATTCCCAAATTTTTATTATATTAAGTTTTGCATTTCGTTTTGAATTTCATGTTCAGCACTTAAACTAAAGACAATTTATAACTTAAAGTATTCTTGCATTCATTCCTACCAAGCCATTCCGGGAGAAAAGTCAAACGTATCAAATAACCCAATGTGAAAATTCGTAGCTAACTTGTGAAGTATCATGAATCAATGGCATACCTGTTTAAAGTTGTTCATTCTTTTTCATTTTTTTCCTTTAAGCTTCTTCTTTTAATTCATAATTGTAGTAAAGGTTAGAAATGTACCTTTCTGAAGATATTATACAATATTCCCAAAACTTGTCTAAATATGTGGTGAGCTGGAATTTATTCGAAAGATAGGGTCATTCATGTTTTCATTAAACTCATTTAAGCACAACCATTATGCCTAAATGCAAAATTGATTTCGTGACATGTTATCAAAGCTGTGAATTTCTATCAAGGGTAAAAATTGTAAATTTATAACTCAAGGATTTATCTTTACCAAAACACAAAGTACTAGTGAATTTAAATTAAGAAAGGACTCAGCAGTATATGTTCCTGGACATTGTATATAAAATACAATACCTGTTCCGCAGTTAAGACCTGTAAAACCAGGGTAACACGTGCACCTGTAGTTATTTACCTCGTCATGACATTCTCCGTAACGACAGGGGTTTGAACTACATTCATCTATATCTGAAAACGTGAGTATAAATGATGAAATTTACATATCTTAAAATCTATAATATAATTATAGCATATAATTATAGCATGGACAATATTGCATGATGTATTTATGATCAACATCAGCACTTTAATAATGAAATTGTAAGTATCAAAGACAAAAATATACACAAATATTTCATAATGATGAAAAGAAAGTAGATGCCCCAGCTGTCAATACTTCGTAATGCAATTAAATTGTTTAATACGACGTCATTTGTTACATTGAAGATAAAATATACTTATATAACACGGCAATACATCTTGACAATACAATGATTATGATAATAGCAAAATCATCATTATAACTTGCAATTATGTAGAAATAAACATTTTAAATGGTAAAAAATGTATATATCTACTCACTAGTTGTACAGTTGGTACCTGTCCATCCAGGTAAACACGTGCAATTATAACCGTTTGATGTTGCCTCGCATACACCGCCGTTATTACATGGATTAGTTGCGCATACTTCAAAGTCTGACAAAATATTAACAAAACTAAGCCATCCAGGGATGAAAATGAGGAACCTTATTGAAAAAATATGTTGTTTAGAAACTTTATACGTGTAACATCATTAATAAATCATCTTACGAACAATATCATATTATCAAAAAATCTAAGATATGGCTTTATTAGAAGGTAATCAATTAATGATATGTATAACATACCTTTGACTTCAATGGATATACATTTCACATCATAACTGAAAGAAAAAAAAACATTGCTATCATCAAATAAGCTTAATATTGACAATCTGCAACATGAGATTAAGAAAAGCAAGTTTAGTCTGAATAACATTTATAAATACAAAACAAAGAACAAGTAAAAAGACAATAAGCAACTTAAAAACAACTATTATGAATTTCTTTTTTCACGTGGTCGCATTACATTAACAGCATTCGGCTCTTTGCGAATTGGTCGGCAGAATAAACGAATCTTTTGACGCGGGAGGCAATTTTTAAGAAATATGGTTTCTTTTTAACTAAGATTTACTTAAAACATCTTTGAACATTCATTGACAACAGTCCTTAATTATTTCATATGATAGTATGCTTAAATATGATAACTTTATTATGTAACTTATTCTCAAATTTTGGACAAACAATTACTAACTCGACATAGAATTACTTACCCGGTATTTAAGCACAATTGTTGTTTCTCACCGGCTTTGGACGTTCCTATTACCAATATCGATGTAACACATTCTGTTTGTGTCAGTGTTGGCGGGTGAAATATACGGTGATGGTTTATTGTCGTATTTGGATGCACTGTTACATTTGTACTTGTATGCAAAATATTGAAATATATTTACTTCTACCGCTTATTTCTTTAATTTATCAACGATTAATTGCAAAAGTTTTAATTAAATCGGATATGATTACTTTAAAAGTATAAATCAAAATCATATAATAAAGGAAAACAACATGTTCGAGACCACTAAGATAGCAAATAGTACATGCATTTTAGTCACATTTTTACACATCCTTTAATTCAGGTATTTTGCTCTCTTCCTTTCCATTTTGATCTAATTATTCCTTATTTTTTATATCCATGGCAAGTTTGAAGCTTTACTGGAGATGAATACATATTAAATCTATGTTTAACAATATGTCCTTCTCTGGACAATAGGACGTCACAGATTTGCAATACTATAATATTCTTTAAAATACTTCAGCTAAGATATAAAAAGTAACTGCATACCAAGTATTGTTATTTGTTAGATAAGTTCCTATGGTGACGTAACAGATTTTGTCTGTATTACATGCATAGGTCAGATTGTTGGCTGAAAACCCCTGAAATTATTGTCTGTAATAAATCAAGATGCATTTTGTTGTGGTTTGTTTTTTGCAAGCCTGACGTTCTATTGACAAAATACTCCAATCATACATTATTGTTTTTCTGGGAGTAGTTTACACAAATGTTAAACAGACACTGTTTCGCATGAAACGTAGAAAGATGATTTAGAAACATAAATTAATACATAAATTTAGTACAAAATTGTACAAATAATATCCTCGAAAAAATGAATTAGTATTAAGCTAAAACGGTTACAGTTAATATTATTATATAACAAATATCTCCATATCAATTAAATTGAATGATAAAGTTATACCAAATATAGCAAATACGTTTTTGTAAACAAGCAGTATTGTTTAATAAAAATGATACAATATTTAATAAAAATGATGCAATGTTTATCATTTCATACCCCTGGAATAGGTGTAGGAGAGAGGTTCTGGTAGTACTGCTTCGCTAAAACGCATCCTTCCTTTTTACAATTCCTATACATGTATTAATTATATATTACAGAATTAAAGTTTTCCTTTAAATACCTGGTTTAACACAAGAACGAATAGAGAAGACGACAGTAGTTTTGTTAGGCACTTTGTTATGTATAGTGAAATTTTGACTTGATCAATATAAAACAAACGCATTTCTTTTTTTAAAAAATCATGTTTTATCAAGACAATTGGTACCCGAACATGTGATAGAATTTGGAAAAGACTGGTAACACTGCATTGCTATTGAAGAGAATATATTTATACAAATTATTGCACTGTATATAGATAAAAAGTGACAATAAAAGAAAGAACCATTCTTATGAATTACTGTTTTAATTAATATTATAATTTGATTATGAAGTCTAAGAATTAACACGTTCAATGAGTTTTCATAAACATTTATTTATATTTTTTACATTCAATATAATTATGTTTAAGTTTTCGAATGAAAACCAACCGTAGGAAATTTATTCGGGAAATTGTGATTGTTATAAAAACTTTTAACTTGTGTATGGCAATAGTTACGGTTGATTCACATGATAGCAAATTTTAGACGCATCTCCTCTCGCCAAAATGTCCACGATTTTAACATTTGCATTTAGAACGTCCGGTGTTATGTTGACTATGTTACCATCGGATACAAAATGCTCGCTGAAATGTAACATTTCATTTGAATAATGATGAAATCGTTATAAATGAATTATTTGATGAATGTGTGGCAAAAGACAACTAGTAGCTCTTTATATGTGGCAAACATAAAAGAAATGACATGAAATTATCGTGGTGAAGTTTTCCTTTAATCCGTATTTCTACGTTTGAATTTCGCTTTATGCCTAAGAGTTTTTATTTCAAAATTGAAAACAATGTTTACATATTTAAAAAGTATACATTCATGGTAAATACATGTAACCCATTAGCGTGCTAAACCAGTTTAAACATTGTAATTTAGATACAACACAATCAATTATACATGAAACAATCCATCATGGGCAAAATGCAACTTACGTGCCTATAATGATTCCCGTAAGGTGACAATTGGTACCCGAACATGTGATAGAATTTGGAAAAGACTGGTAGCACTGCATTGCTATTGAAGAGAATATAATGATACAAAATAATTGCACTGTATATCGGTAAAAAGTGACAATAAAAGAAAGAACCATTCTTATTAAGGAGCTTAGAAACAGTATAAACAATTATCATTTTATATTGTATTCTCAAAAAGTGGTTTACACTCAGTATATTGATAAGTTCTATTGGATTTATTTTAATCATGAATTGTGTCATCATGTATGTAAAGTAATGAAGACCTCGATCTATATTTGCCGCAATGAGGCTTTATTTTCCCGTATATCATGTCAGCAACTTGTATAACGAATTCATAATAATGCATGTATATAATGGCGACAACTCAATTATAAAGAATAGAAAAATCGCAACTTGAACAAAACATAGGTTTTATTGTTTCCCGTTATGTGCCTCAACGCGCTCCTTGTTTTTTCGTTCCAGTTCTTCACGGTATATACTGTACAGTATACAAAGCGTATAAGCCAATCAAAATCCGTGAAATTTATTTGTATTATTATAAATATATTATATGTATATGATTACTTAACGTTTTTCACATGCTGTTCCTGTATATCCTATGGGACACAAACATTTGGACGACCCATCAACAGCGTCACATACACTCCCTGTCTGGCAGTAACGTCGGCTACATGGCCCTGCTAGTTCTAAGACAGATCATTGATTTTTCAATAAAAATTGTTGTACTGTAATAATTTAAAACACATAAATATCCAGTAGAAAGAAAGGAAAATGTATATATTTACAAAACAAGCACATAAATCCCTGTGAAGTATGGTGATAAAACCTTTACAAATGTTTGAATCTTACTATCATTTCCATTCATTTGAAATGACAAAAATCAAAACTCTAGTCGCCATTTTCGTTTATCTTTAAAGCAGCATGCCTCTAGATTAATGTCTTTAAAAGTAAAAAATTTTGATGTGAACACTGCAAACGTAACTTACAGTCCACGTAAATTACCAAAGAGAGGTCAAAATAGGCAAAAATAGCTCTCAATGTGTTAGTCGCGTATTAAAAATATGATTTAAAATACTGCAAAATCATCAGTCATTTATCTCACATAACATGTGAATTATTACTTGAATGTTGAATTTCTTTACCTTTCTTAAAATCTTCATCTCTTTTTTTAAGTTTGATATCCTTGAAACATTTTTGCGGCAATCTGGAGGCATGCAGCTTTAATACATTTACTTGTCACCTTTTAGCTATAGATTATCTGCACTTAATATACTAATCTATAGGTACTCAGTGATCAATACAGAAGCATATGTTGTCGTTATTTCATGTGATGGGAAGCTGATTCTATAATTTGTTGCCGTCAATCCCAACTGGCCTTTCATATTTATGCATTTTGTATAAAGTTTTGTCATTTTAACAAGATAGCACGCATGCGTTTACTTGATATAAGGTAGTATCATATATATTTCGAACCTTGTCTCGATTCCGATGTCACTTCAATGTTCACAAAATGTGCTTCTACAACTGATGCAATTGCGTTAATTCTGAAAAAAGCCCAAGAAGATATAATCAAAGCACGGAAGGCGCTGAATTTGTTTGGGTCTCAGAATGTAAGACTGGTACAGGTTGTGAGATTATATGTAAAGTGCCACCAATGCTTTCCAGCGTTTTAATTGTAGTAAATTGGCTAAAAGACTTATTGCAACACTGATATTCAATCCAATGTTTATTTGACTTAAACAATTTGAAAAAAAATGAGTTGCCTTTACTGGAATTTGGACTCAAGACCACTCGCTTCCCAAGCGAGCGCGAAAACCCCTCAGCCACGGTGAATTTATATGTGAACGGCCTGTTGAAAAACCATATTATTCAAAATTAGGGCTTGTAACGACTTCAACTGTTGTTTAACCTTTTCCCTTATATAAGCGTGTTTCGACGGCTTTTTGCCCCCCCCCCCCTTTTTGTGGCCTCAAACAGTAAAGAAAATTTTGGACATTTGACAGGCTAAAAATGGCCTCAGGTGGATCTTAGGGTAACTAGTAACCGACGCTGAAAAGCCTTTTACTCTATCTCAATTCATTGAGGAGTTGCAGCACTTTGAAACCAGTTTTGATGGAAAAAAACAATGCAAAATAGTGATTTTTGGCAATTTTGAGACGTCCCCCGTTGCCATGGTAACAGGAAATTTACCATTGAGCATGCTGTTACAGAGGCTATGGTGTAGTCAACATTTGGGCCTAGTTTCATTAGTATTGAAGCATTTTTCATAGTTTCATAGCAGTTTGAACTTGTTACAGGAGGCTTTTCAATGAAAACGGCCATTTTTCGCAATAATGCTCATGGGGTAAAAGGTTAACACAGATGTTAATAATCCTGGAGCTTAATTACTATAAGCATGTATATTTATAAAGAATTAAAGGGCTGCACGTTCTGTGGTATTTTCTGATCTTTGCAATCTAAATCGTATTGTATATCTGTATGTATTTTCCTGTATAAGTTTATTTTTATGTACTATAATTCATCTTGCAAGGCACCAGAGTTTGATACATACGGAATTTTGCATAACTCGAGTTGCATTAAAAAATCATTTATGTTCATTTTTACGACAGCCACACTTTATCCTTGCATATCATGACTACTTCCTTAAAAAGATTCCTCGACTGGGATTTGAACTCGAGACCTCTCACTCACTAAGCGAGCGCGTTACCCCTGCACCACGGAGAAGTTATACAAACAATGTCTGAATAACATCAAGTAATTCTAAATTTAGAACTTCCATTGCATTTCGGGTTTGTAATCCTTATTAATTTCGAGGTATTTTGTTCAGGATAAACCTGTGGTTTAAAATTGAAGTAAATAATTTAGCGAAAATCTATCTCGCCCAAACAGTCCGACATGTAGAATCTATATATTCCACTACTCCGTTTGTGTAGTATTCGGTAATCGACATCGCTAAAAATAGTATTTTCATTGATAAAATCATATTCATCCGCGTAATTTGTGATTGTGCATTTATTGACAATTCTATAAGCCAACGCTATTTTTAAACTTTGAATGCGTTGTAATTTGTTGGATACTTGTAACAAAATAAAAATATTTCTTTCTTTTAAATCGCTAGTTTTAAGCTGTTTTGAGAACTACTTGTTGTTAGGTTTGTCGTAAACTTCTGTGTCAGGGATTGAACGTCCGCTTTGTATTTACTTATTTTCGATCAGAAAATACAATAAAACAATATTAGAAATCTTCGACCATTTGGGAAATATTTTGCTTTAAAATTAATGCGCCTGTCTTTGACCATCTTTACGCAGTGATCTCCCCTGAATTTTTCGGCGTTAGTGTACATATAAAGGGAAGTAACCGCTTCAAAAAAGTGGACTACTTTCGGCATTTGCAATTAACAGCATAAGACTCTGAAATTTCGCTACCATTATTTGTTTGGTCTGACGACCCAAACAAATAAAAACGTAATCCAATCAGTCTTGCTACATTTAAGCTTTTATTATGTTTACGTATGTTAAAATACTAGTCTATGCTTCAACATATTTATATAAGGAAAAACGTATTATGGTGACGAGTCGAACTTATTTCTGAAAACATTTAAACGATTGATTCAATAAAAACTTAATACATAATACAATAACTGATGATATATATAATTATATGAATTGCCAATAAAAATATGAGCATACGAGACACAAACTGTCTTGTTTCCACGAGCATTCGCTGACGGCGTGATTGCCACGTCATATTTGCACGCGCTCTGCTTCACTTCGGTCTCGTTTATATATATTGTAACATCGGATAGAAATTGTTCACTTGGTCGATTGCTGTGTATAAAAAAAGAGAAATTGAGGCGATGAAGAGTGCTCCATTGTAAAAACATGTACTTGTATATTGTTATATGACGTGCTGTTAGACACTCAACATTTTTGTCTATTATGGTTTGAATGTTGATGGAGTTTTTAACCATTGATGGCAATATTTTTGCATTCATTATGTTGTGAGTCATAACAATCGATGTTAAAAATTGATGTTGAATAACCTCTTGTACATTGCTATCAAATAACTGCTTTAACTAATCAATACGATTATAATTAATCTTTCTTTAATCTTTCTTATGAAATTAAGCTATTTGATCTTCATTTTCCCCTGCAAGTCTAGTAAAGGGAAATATTAAAATTGGCATATATATTTTATTTATAAATATGACATCTTCCAATTTCTAAAGTTATTCACGTTTTTTCTTTTTTATGTTGTTTTTAGGTTTGTAAAGTTGTATTGTATATTCTAGAAAGTATATATCCTAGGACCCCTTCGGGCTTTAATGGGCAATCCGATGTTATAACACACTACTGTATACATGATTTTACTTACATAGTCGCATTCTAAATATTTTGTAAATTAATCTATATCTAGTCAAACGAAAGAAAGATATAAATTTGGTCTTGTCTTAATTGTAATTTGTAATTATTTATTGTGTAATGAGCCTCCTGTGATAGTTATGTTTGACAAATTTCCGAAATATTTTATTACAGTTTTGTTTTAACATATTTTTATATAAATATGCACAAGTGTATATTCTGTATATGTAAGCTTTAAGCTAAATAAATATCTATGTATTCATCCTGGCTTACTAAAATACATTACCCGAAGCATGTTGTTTAAATGATTCCATTTTGTAGTTGGTAAAAACTTAATAGAAAATGTGGCAAAATACAAAATATATGATAATTAGAACGAGGTAATAATTACCAATAGCCCCCGTGTCTTTTAAATTCTACTGTATAATGACACGTCACATTGTTCGGACATTTCACCGTGGAATTGATAGGGAATGTAGGAGGATAATTGAAATGCTGTGTTACCTGCAATATTCATTAAGTAATGATATACACGCATGTATTAAACATATAGCTGAACAAATTTAAATATGAACATGTATTTAGAAAATATCAGCCCATACTCTATTTTCGTGTTTTGTTAAAACATACTCTGCATAATAATAATGAGAAAATTAAACCTCAAATGCATAAAGAAAATTATTTTCTGCACTATAACATTAAACTAAAGAAGGTATTAATACTCATATACCAAACATAACACTTTTACACATCAATACTTACATTCATGAAGTTGTCCCGAACTGTAATATAAATTAAACATTTTATTGAAGTATGTTTGAGCATCATAACACGTACCGTTCTTCAGAAATGTATTCTTACAATGTGGTCACTGTTGTAGAGAAATCAGAAAATCAAAGATAAAATTTTTTATATCACAGCTATCATTTGTTTGTTTATGTGGGATCGTAAAGGCACATTATGCCTCAGGAAAGAATATTTTCCCTTCTTTAGAAAAAGCAAACATGAGTTTTATAACATTAACAATTGTTTTTAGAGCAATTTTAATGCTTATCACCTGAAGAAGTGAAATGTTTTGTCAAAAAAGAAACAAAATGTAAACAGAGTAGTATTTTGAATTCCAAACAAAATATTAGATCAGTATAACTGTACTGATTGCTAAAGCAACTGAGGGGAAATGGTTTAGGTAATTGGCCAGTGGGTAACGTTTGGAAACTTTAAAAGGACATTCAAAATAAAAAGCTTTAGAAAAATGAAAATAAAGCATTTCTTAGGCATAATTGGCTTTTTTTAAAAAAAATTGTAACTGATTCTCCTTGTATATATCAGAGATGACAAATGTCAACTTACTTCCCTGAACCACAAAACACAGCTCGTCTACATTCACTCTGAAAAAAGTTGGATCCGTTCATAAATTACAATACAAGAATAAATCTGAGGAGCATTTGTTATCCGAAAGTAATTCATTAGTTTGTTTCCTAAGACACCGTAAAGGAGCTGGCCGTTGCTAACATAACGTGAACAGACTCGATCAAACCGAGCCTGTACAACATTTTTAATATTGCCGTTATAAGCGTTTTTAGAGATTCGTTTTTTGTTTCCATTAAATCATATGAACGTTAGTATAATTTAACCGCTTTCATTTCAATGATAACCTATTATTTTTTTAGATATTATAATCTTGATACATGTTTGGAAGACAATTCTACTTTAAACGAAACGAAAAAGACGAGACAAACTTAAATGTTATAAAACATTCCTCTTTACACATACATGTAATTGACATCATGTATTACAAACACCGTACTGAAGACGTAATTAAACGATTGTACAATGTCAGGTAGATAATATATTAACTATTGTCAAAATATAGAAATAGTTACATGTCTTTCTGAGTTGTTTGTATGCAGTATTGATAAGGTTTTTCCTCCTGTGGGATAACTGTCACCATGGCCTCGTATGGACATGTCTTTTGGTTTTGGTAGCAACGGTATGGAAGTTTATGCCAAACTTGTATTGGTTCCACATTCAAGCCTGGGTCCCGGTGTCCATTTTGCACAAATGGCCTGTTTCAAAAATTATCTGTTTTACCAAACGCCCTATACAAGTACGAAATTTAAAAATTGTAGACCTTTATAAAACAGAAAATGTTTTGATTTGAGTTATAAGTTAAATATCTATAAACCTTAAACCGAAACAATAATCGGCTCAATGTAAAATACAAAAATTATTAATAAGCTTACATTTGGTCTTGTCTACCATCAATAGGAAGAACAAACCTACATGGTTTATTAACTTGACAAAGCAGAAGTTTCGGAATCAAATTTCCTGAGAAAACGGATGGACTCTGAAAAAAACAACAAAAAAACCGATACCATTAGGAAAGCTAAACTAGTATAACTAAGAATGACATAGCTTAACATTTTTGTTTGCATAATTAATTCGCTATATAATTATGAACTCTTTCTAAATAGATTACTTTGGATGTTAAAGGTTTTAATTACGTTTCAGTTATATGAACACATCTGCGGATGTTTTTATATGGCGACTTTCTAGCTTTACTGGTGTAAGAAAACCTCAAGCCAGTGAAGTACCCATCCGTGATTTATTTCGGACACGAAGGGGTACCTGGGTATATCCGCCGAATTTCCGTAAGCTAGCTGGAAATTCACCGTCCCTGGCAGGATTCGAACACACATGTAGCGGTTAGGGGCAAGTGGTTTGAGGTCAACGACCTTAACAACTCGGCCAAGAACGCTACAATCGTCAAATGTAACTTAATTCCAAATAAATATCATATTGTTAAAATCTGCTGAGTCTGAGCTAGGGATTGAATTTTACTGAGTAACTTTTTCAGCTGTCCCTTTTGGATTGGATTAAAGACTTTATTTATTTATTTTGATGTACTTTAAAATAGTAATAAGAATAATAATGATGATGATGATGATGATGATGAAACACGTTTCGGTTAGAGACAATATTTGCCATTCATTTTTTTAGTATATACTATTGCCTATAAAATAACCACTTAATTTTAAAAACCTCATTTTAGAAACAAATCATTTTTGCAAACAGTACTAATTCTGGATTGAATAATTTGCAATTTGATGATGAACTTAAAGGAAATTTGGTTTAAAATTGATTTGTAAGATATCAGTTTCAATAAAAGTTTTAAGAGTAAAAAACTATATCTAACGAATGAAACATTTTATAAAATTTGTAAACCCTAATCTTATGCTGTTTTCTTTCATACAGGAATTTTGAAATAAAAAGTCAAACAATAATTTTATAAAGTACTCGTATAGGCAGCAGATAAGTAATGTTTAACACTTTGACATACTGAATTTGTATATTTTTGATCCTCCGTCAAAATGAATCTTTCTTGTCCTACAGCATCTCCATATGAACTCATAAATGTTGAAAGAATTATATAAATCCATCTAGTTTCAAACATTTTACAATATTTTTCGCAACGGCGTCTGAAATCGCCGTGTTTAAGTAGTCTTTGATAATACCGACTGTCAAAATAGAAAAAAATACACGAATCCAATATTTTCGACAAAGACAACAGAAACGAAATATATCTAAAAGTTAAAACACCATCAAAGCACACGTTTTCCTCTAAACAGGTATGAAATTTTCAAGCTATATAAGAATAATTTATAATAATAATATAATAATTGTCTTATCTTTCTACAACGTGACAAAATAGGCTGACCGATAATAAAACTACCATGACCTTGATAGGTAACGGTTTCACTTTCTAATGTCCTAGATTTTCATCATGTTCTTTCCCGCCAAGAATGTAAAAGTATTTACTATTAATAATTTATAAATAGTAGGTCTTGCAATAATCTTTAGACAAAGATTATCATTAACTTTTCTTCATTAACATGTAATGGTTCCGTAACCATTTTTAAATTTACGCAAGTTATATTAAAACGCACTCTATATGTGGTGAAGATTGCATTAATATTGCTAAGTGTAGCGTCCAGTAGTGTTTCATATCTTGGCCGAAGGCCATCTAAAATCGGTTGGACTTCCTGTAAAATTTACAGGGAATAACTGATTATAAGAAGAATTTTCATTGGTCATTTTAAATAACAAATAACCATTCGAAAGGGTAGCTGTTGACATTTTCGGTCCCTTGTCAAAGACCGAGTCTGGAAATATTTACGTTCTTGTTATTTGTGATTGCTTTACAATGTGGACGAGGCAATTACGATTCCTAACCAGGAAGCAGAAACTATTGCGAAAGCATTTGTAAATGAGTTTGTCTCACATTTTGGTGTCCCCTTCAAATACATTCTGACTAAGGCAGGAATTTCGTGTCTAAGTTATTTACTGACATGTGTGTCTTCTACATATTTATTACACTAGATCAACAGCCCTACACCCGCAATCCAATGGAACAGTGGAACGATTTAACCGGACGTTCGCCTCAATGTTAAGTATGTACTGCAATTCAAATCAACGCCTTTGAGATATACTTAAGGACAGTGAAAACGCACGGTCGGGATAATTGCATTTTAACAAGGAAAATATATTTATTTTAAATATTTTTTTTACAGTTTCATTAAACCGAATGCATTTCGGTCATTTAGATATCAAAGTTATGAAAAATGATTGCATTTTTATGAAGTTATTGCATGATAAAGACAGTACCCGAAAAATCAAAAGTAACACTTTTGGCTAATTGTGATAAGATCACAACAGAAAACAGATTTAATCAATTCATGGTTACTTTATGAAATGAAATTATTTATTTTTTTAAAATGGTCATTATTAACTTTCTAGAAATGTTAGACACAAATGAGCAATTAAATTTTTTATGAAAATGAATATTAAACTATGCCAATGGTCAGTTTTAGAAATCGTAAAAGCTCACATTGAAATTGAATATACACACTTTTCCTCTATTAAAGGTGTTTAATTTCAAACTACTTAAGATTTGCTAGCAAATTGTATGCAATGGTTCTACAAAGAATTAACCGCTGGGTAGATTTAGGAGAGTTTCAGTCTGGTCTATCTTACAATCAAATTTTGTATTATCCAAGCGCCAACTGTTTTGGTGTCCATCGGTCATCACCAGCGTTTTCGCACTACACTACAGGCTGAATGGCGTCAGATTCCACAGGCGGCTATCCGCACCGTAAGGTCTATGAAGCGACGATGTACATCTGTAAGAGACGCTGATGGAGGATATTGTCGTTTCTAAAGATCCCGACGGTAACATTACGAATATACATTTATGAGTGACTTTGTTTTGGATTTTCATTTTGGTTTTTGCCTTTGTTAAGTTGCATTACTGTGATGAAAAAGTGTGATTTTGGGATTTTCACCTAAGGTTCTTCGATTTTACTGGTGTACATTTGATTTTAATCATTTTGAATTATTTTCAGTTGTTAAGTTTGCTTTTTGTATTCAAGTTATGATATATATCTAATGGAGTCGTTAGTGTTTTGTTTTCATGTAATAAAATGCATATAGTGCGGGCGTGCGTTTTCATTGTCCTTAAGTATAAATGCATCTACTTGTTCCACTTCTAATAAAATGATATTTGGAAGAGATATTATACTGCCGCTACAAGCATGTATTGGCCTGGCCCCTCAATGCAACATTTCAAATGAACCTAACAAACCTACCTCTTACTACATTCTTGATCTTAAAGACCAACTAGAACTCACACATGAACAGGCCCGAGAGGTTTTGAAAATTAAAATTTCATACAGTTAACGTCACTATGACTTAACAGCAAAGAATCGTTCACTTTCTGTCGGAGATCCAGTTTGGTTACATGACACATCTCGTCGTCTAGGAGTTTATCAAAAGCTTTCACCTACCTGGAAAGGTCCATTTTTTTATTACAAAGAAGGTTGATGATTTGTTTTATCTTGTTAAATAGTCAATAAAACTACCTGCTAAAGCTGTACACATTGACAGGCTAGTCAAGTACAAGAGCAACAACATACCAAAGTGGTTTTCTACTTACCTCACCAACAAATCTGATGAATGCCAATCCTTAAAATAGCTAATGAGCAACACAGTAACATACCATGATACCTGATAATTTAAATATGCAAAGTATTAGTATAATGTATTACTGAACACATCAACTTAACAAAACTTGATAGCAATTCGTAGTTACATTTTAATGAAGAAAAGATTTCATCTTAAAAGAAACATTCAATGCTAATTCTTGTCCATTGTTTAAGAAAGGCATGCAATAATGGTAGTTGTGGCTTTATTGGTAATAAAGCAGGTGATTTCACAGTAGTACAATTGTCTTTGATTAAATGGAGGCCTCCAATAAATTATTGAAAGCGGATTGATCACCCAATTACGATATAATTACGATCATAGCAGAAACAAAAACAAAAACAGGACAGGGCAAAGACAGAGCACGGACAGGTTTATCATTAAATGATAATTAATTTGTAACTGATTAGGAATTCAAAGAAAATAAAAATAGGCCCACAAAGGGGAAGGGGACAGGAGACCGGGGGGGGAGGGGGTGGGGAGTAATCAAAGAAATAAAAACTAGAGGAAATGGGGAAGATACTTACCGTAGACGAGAAAACAACAAGGGACACAAGCAAAAGTGTCACCAAAACAGTATGAAACAACATAAGACATACAACTGAGGAACACAGTGGGGCGCCGCCTTGGAACGGTCAGCAGCATAATAATGACTGCTGGGGAGTTTAAACCGGTTATTTGTGCACCAAACCTCGCTCTTAGCCCCACCATGTTCCTATAAACGAGACAGTGTAAATAAAATTCAAGTCCTGCATCTGTCAGCAAAATCAACCACAATCTTGAATCTTCACAACCATCAGCAAAAGGTGATAACATCAATAATACTAACAAGGAAGACACTGTCAAATCAGATGTAAACAACATCAACAACAATGAAAATGAAGAAAATGTAAACACCCCAGCTGTAAATGTAAAATCAACAGAAACATCTAAAACTACGAAGATAAATGATGAAATCATCTCTTCAGTAAATGATCCAGATGTGGACAATGGTGAACTTGACTACAATGACTTAAGATCTGCAAAACCAGTCTCTATAAATGATCCAGATAAAGCTTTTAACAGTCCCTTCTACACATTCCAACACCATCATATCAACCACAAAGCAGTAAAATTGATACACCTGTAGTACCTGAATAAATACCCACACAACATCAGCAAAGCTAAAATATGATAAACAAGATCAACAAGGAAAGGCGGCGTTCAATGAACGCAATCCCCACATGACCCATTAACAAGAACCAATGGCAAGGAGCCCAGGGGGACCCCAAACAAAAACAGGACAGGGCAAAGACAGAGCAACTAAGACTCTCCTGACAACTGGATCAATGCCACTTCTTCCGCCAGCAGAAAGAGAATGGTCATCTGTACCCGAATGTAGCATAAATTTATCATCAAATCTTCAGTGGCCACCACATCAATGGAAATCATTTACACCTGACCAAAAACCCCTTTGTTACAGAATATGCCGCCATGAGACTAGAAGAAGACCACAACAACAAATTAATCGTCATGGACAGATCCGTACTTCTTCACAAATATAACTTTGTATCCTTGCCTGGTTCCACCGGTATCAAATATGATAAGCAAGATCAACAAGGAAAGGCGGCGTTCAATGAACGCAACCCCCATATGACCAAGCAACAAGAACCCAATGGCAAGGAGCCAAACTCGAGTTAAAAGGAAGATCCAGAATATTGAACTTTCATGTTGTTTCAAACGTTGCCGTTGAAAAGACAAATCCAGCGACGAAGAAAAGCACATCATCCTCTACAGTTTCAAGATATCTGAAGAACTCAAAAGACATTCTCTCAAAGATCCATCATGTACCCTTAAGACTAAAAAGAAGAAATAAATAAGCAAGTAGTAAAGCAATAATGTTATAAAACAGGTAAATATTTTTTTTTTAAATTATATGTTACAATAGACGTATTATTCACAATTTATCCTTTTTCAACATTTTTAAATTTTTCTACATAAAATCATTGTCAGGTTAGAACTTAATTATAGACAGGTATTGTTGTACTGTGTTTCCTTAAAACAACTATAGATACATAATTATTTTATATATAAATCAAGCATTAGTCTTTATGTGATTCTCTGACTTGTTATTACAAAAGTCTTTACATATAAGTAGTTTATTATTTACACATATACTTTGTTCAGTCTTAACTTGAGTGAACTTAAAAGTATTGACTTAATTAATTGTATTATGTCTTGAGGTATGGTGGAATACTTGCTGTTTGTTATAAGTAAAATATTAAATGTTAACTACATTGTATATTTTTACTTAAGTATTTGAGAATTAAGTTCTTATTTGAAGCATACATTACCTAAGTCTTTAATTGAATGCACTTGAAAGTAATGACTTGAATGTACTTAAGTGTTGCAGTGCAAACTTGACTTGCATTTTTAGTTATGCTAATTTGATATGTTTTTAAGGTGCTGATAACGTCTAAATTTGATATTAACTGAGATGTTATTTCGACAAGTGTTGTTTTGAATGTACTTGAACAAATGATGTATTGTAACTTTATTTTACTTCAGGATAAGTTAGTTTTTTTAAGATGGGGGAAATGTAATATGTGTTATCCGAATCATATGCTTTGTCCAAACATGAATTGTACAAGTAATGCTCACCTTATTGCAGAGTTTTAATCCATATTATTTCCATGATTAGATTTATT